TGTTGAGGGCCCCAAGCTCCAACTCAACTCAATGACAGCTCTGTCAGGATCACCTTAATTGAGGGGGTCCTTCAAGTTCAAATTCTCATGTTTGAAATGTTTTTTCTAAAGCTCGGTTGTTGTTGTTTTTTCTGTTTTCTGTTTATTTCATTTATTTATTTATGTATTTATTTCAGACTGGCAATGTGATAGCACTGTGACATGTAAGGTGAGAACCAGGTTTGAGTACCATCTGGTCTATGGAAATTGGTCTCCCCGTGGAGAAAGCCGTAGTTTTACGTTCCCCCCCTGCAGGGGGCGCCATTGTCCCATTATTACCGCTCCACCACAGAAGAAGTAGCCCAGTTGCTGCTTCGTGCCTGTGACGATGGCGGTCGTCTTGAGGGGAAGTTTAGTAACGTTGTTCAAGGTGAGAGCACAAATTATGTTGACGGGCTTTTTGTGTAAATAGAAAAAATGGCTGCTTTAGTCATATTTCATATAAACGCAGCAAAGAGACGTTTACGCACTGAGTGTTGTCATGTGTTTCTTACGTGAATGCTAACCATCGTGAGGTTCATGGACGTCTCCATTACTGATAGAACGATTCTGAAGTGTGTTTCCTTATCTGGAATTATTTTGCTGAAAGTAGTTCTCGGTTTGTTTTATTTGTCAGTAGATACGTGCCTTAATAAGACATCCTGGTTAGCTGAGAAGGTCAGCTAAATTAGCTTAGCCTCCCAGCCTGTGTCCGTTAACCGTGTCAGTAACCTCCCTGTCCTTAGTGAACCGTTAGCTACTGCTACTCGTGGGGCTAATCACAAGCCGAAAGACTTGAAGCGAGCAACTCAGACAAGGTTTAGTTTTCAGTCAGATTTCTAGGTGTCAGTAAGAGTGCAAATATATTCAGTGTCTTACTTTAACCTGTAAGATTGCTGAGTTGGCCTTTTAACTTGTTGCCTACAGGTAAGATGCGGGTGAGGGTGATAATCATTCTGGATCACCTTGAAATATCCAAACCGGTGACAAAATAAATGAAGAGGACGACAACATAAAGTCTCTTAGTAATAGATGCTGGGGCAACACATACCACCAGGACGGCTTTACCATGCATTGCTACTGATTCCTAAAGTCTCAGGAACTCTTCCTGGATGGAAGACCACTTTTTTCCCCATTGTGGTCGCGCAGAGTGCTGTTTTACCCGTCGATCCAACACCTCCCTTAGGGTTTTCAGCTGTTGACCGACCATTATTCTCAACGACAATTTTTCATACCATTAAGTAATAAATTTCTCATAGATCCAAATTCAGATGTAACTCTTCCCATTGAAACATTAGTACTAGCCAGTACAGAGCATGTAAAAAAAAAAAAAAAGTCTTTACCACAGTGCGAAGCTTGTGTCACAGGGATTATTTATACATATACTGACTTGATTATTTGAACAGATGTAATCTGTGGATCAACTATGACTCCAAGAAGAAAGCTCTTCCCCACTCTTTTTGTCTTGGTGGTCAGCAGACAGTAACTTCTGATGTTGTATTGTACTAGTTAACATAATTCACCTAACAAGCCAAAGATTGCGTCAGGAAGGGCATCTGACCTAAAAATCCGTTGAGCTACCCATTGTTGCACAAAAGCTGCTGCTGCTGCTTCTGTCCACTATTGTAAGGCCTGATTTATACTGCTGTCGTTAGTCTTTGTAGAGTCCACAACAGAACTTGTGTCACTGACGACATGCTTGTGTGTGGTGTATGATATGTTAATTACCTTGGACACCTGGTATTTTATATGTAGTGGAAACTGGTAGAAATAACTAAAATGTTGGTGACTTTTTTCCCTTGTCTGTCCTCACTTTAATAAACTTTGCTGATTGAAGCATTAATCCCATTAACAGTATATGGATGTCAGAAAATAAGGATGGCATAACCGGGCTTGTTTGAGACCGATGCTCCTGCCATCTTTGCTCAAACAATGATCTACAAAGTCTTCATCTTTCAAAGTCACTAAGACCTTTTCTTATTGCCATTTCCTATTAATACAGAATCACCTGGGCCTGCTTAAAATATTCATATATGCTTCCAAACCTGATTGGAGTTGTGTTATATAGTGCACCTGTGTGGAAACATCTGCATTTGTTGTTTCTTTATTTACGCAGATTTTTTCTCATTTATTTGTGTGTATTTACACAAAATCCCCTACTGACTACTACTGAAGACTACTGTCTTCCCTTTATAAAATGCATCTAGGCATCATCCTGAATAGCAATATGCATGAAATTACTATAATATTAGATGAAATGTAATTTATAATATTATATACTGTTGGTACCTACAGTGTTGTACCCTCATTCTCTCTTTCTGACTAAAACATGCTTCTCATAAAGTTGGGCTCACTGGTCATGACATGATGAAATGAGTGAAATAGGAAAAGACATTCCTGCTATACAAAGTTGTTCTCACTTGGTGTTTTTTTTTTTTTAACAAATGTCTGAACACAGGCGCATTCCCCCAACATTGTTTTATTCCGATAATTTCTAAATGTCTTTATGTTTCAAAATCTTGAACAGATTTTTGTATATACACACTGTGGGGGGGGGAGTCAGAAGCTGTAACAAGCAAACATTGAATGTAACAGATGTAGACAAGTGATTCTGGTGTTGCTTGTTATCAAAAAAGTTCTTTTTGACCAATTGGACACTAACAGACCTCTGACCAATGAGCAATGACCAATAATAGTCTTGTTTCAAGTAGGCTGCTGCTCTTTTAACTTCTCTTAGGTCCTAAAAAGTTACCACAAAATGTATAATGTAGGTGCACTGTTTGGTATATGTGCAAATTATATATATGTAGTATATCTATCTACAAGCCCATAATAGTTGAGACTCATTGATATACTCAGTGGACTGATATTATCTACCAGTCTGTTGGTATCATCATGTATAACAACAGATTAAAACAATTAAAACTGTAAATAGGCTGGAGAAACACCATTCAATAATGTTATGATTGTTGACATTGTATATGTTGCCCACAAGAAGGCACTCGGTAGCTTCCCAGTTGGAACAACCAGTTGATCCAAACTAACTTGGGCAGAGTTGAGCTTAAATGAGTATATAAACAAACATGAATAGATTTAATTAACATGAATCTGTTGTATGTGTCTGAAAGGGAAAAAAAATTCTGCAAATATATTCAAATATTGGATCCTGTATCAGTTGAGCTCTCAATATTAGGGTTTTCAATGTGTTGATAAGTAATACTATTAGAGAGTAGATATATGGGTTTATAGTATACTGCAGTGTTCTTTGTAATACTGTACCTAGTAAGTGTACCTTTGTTTCCCTCCTTCAGGGCCTGGTCGGTTCCAGGTGTCCACAGTTGGCCTCTCGTCCACTGAGTGTATCTGCTGGTCTCTGTAGTCCGGAAACACCACCGGCCCGTGCTGATGCTACCTTTAAAGTCACAATGGTGCCAGGGGATGGAGTAGGACCTGAACTAATGACTGCTGTAAAGGAAGTTTTTAAGGTATATTTACATAAGATTGGCGATGGACTCATAACTGCTTTTTATCCTTATACCAAACATGTTGTATTCAGTATATCAGGTTTACTGATGATAGAAAATAATAGGGAACTTTTGACAAAAAATACATGTACAAGTTTTTTTTTTCCCTCTGTCTGGTCCGATTTTTTACATTTTTCTTATATTAAATGTTAAGAAGCTCCTTTTTCATCTCGTTGTGTTTTGCAAATAATCTCCTTGCTTTACTTTTTCTAAGAAATCATTTTAAATATGGTGCTTAATGTTAAAGTAAAATAGTGGATTAAAACTGAGTAAGATTGTCATTCTTTATGTTGATTTGTGATCTTTTAAGAATGATTTTTTTTTTCCCCCCTATTTTTCTGAAGGCAGGTGATGTCCCAGTAGAATTTGAGGAATTCCACATGAGTGAAGTGCAGAACATGGCCAGCGAGGAAAAACTGGAACAAGTGTTGACCTCTATGAAGAGCAACAGAGTTGCCATTAAAGGTAGTCTTATTTCCTTTAATTCTTTGATTTTTTTCTCTCACAAAAAAATTTAATCCAGTAACAAAAAGCTGATTTAAATGGCTGCACTGAAGTAGTCTGAACTGCAGTGTATTTAGGCTTTAACATGTTGGGGCACGTTATCTTATTTAGGAAAGATTCACACACCCATGGAATTTAAAGGCGAGCTGGCTTCATATGAGATGAGATTAAGGTAAATGACCAAATAAAAAATTGTGCGTTATTATTTGCATATGTCACGTTTAAAAATAACTCTATATCCGTCCACTCCCCAGGCGCAAGCTGGACCTGTTTGCTAATGTAGTTCATGTAAACAGCCTGCCAGGCTACAGCACTCGTCACAACAACCTGGACCTAGTCATCATCCGTGAGCAGACTGAGGGGGAGTACAGCTCCCTAGAGCATGAGGTAAACAGTACTCTTACTCACTGCAATCAGAGCGTAAACAGCAGTTTTACACCCACCTGCAAATATACTGGAAGGTTTGTTTAAGGGTTTTGAAAGAAGCATTAAACTGGGCATCAGAATATAGTTAAGTCACAGAAATACAGATTAAGCCAGATTTTGATTTGTCCTTTACTTATGTTGTGGCTCTTTAACTCTCCTATTTATTCATTTTAATATGAAACCTAGTTTACAGCATGATTATTTACACTTAGACCTCAAAGACTGTCTACAGTCAGGTTATGTGGGAGATTGTTGTTTATAGAACATAATGTATGTGTTCATTTTCTTGCATGACTCTTCGGCAAAATATATTTAACCATATGTTGTCATCCTCTTGTGTTTTCCAGAGTGTAACAGGTGTGATTGAATGTCTGAAGATCATCACCAGAGAGAAGTCACGCCGCATCGCCAAGTTTGCCTTTGATTATGCTACCAAGAAAGGGCGAAACAAGGTCACTGCTGTTCACAAAGCTAACATCATGTGGGTGATTTTTTTTTTTTTTTTCTTTTAAAGCCGACTTTGTCTTTGTTATTGTCTTATTTTGAAACCATGTACCTCCCTTAAGGCTAAAAATTAGCATTACAGTAACTCATGTCCTCGTATCTTATTTCAGGAAACTCGGTGATGGCCTGTTTCTGCAGAGCTGTGCAGAGGTGGCACAGCTGTACCCCAAAATCAAATATGAGAACATCATCATTGATAACTGTTGTATGCAGGTATAAACAGACTTGCAGTTCCTTCCCTTTGCCTTATTATTATTATTGTTCTTATTATCCATTACCCTTCAGATTAAATAAGTGAATGCTGTCTTTTATTCCTAATTGTATATTTATAACTTAGCGTTTGCTAGAAGTGCTCCATGAAAAAAAAAAAAAATAGAATAACTGAAGACGTGCACTTTGATTTCACTGCAGTAAATGACCATAGCTGAGCGCCGCTGGTTCAGGCTTAAACTTGTCATTGTATTATTCTTCTGCAGCTGGTGCAAAACCCTTACCAGTTTGACGTGCTGGTGATGCCTAACCTGTACGGTAACATTATTGACAATCTAGCAGCAGGGTTGGTTGGAGGAGCAGGAGTTGTTCCTGGGGAAAGCTACAGTGCAGAATATGCTGTTTTTGAGACTGTGAGTTTCCAAAACCTCTCGCTTGTTTGTCTTTTTGTTTAGTTTTTTTCCTTGTCCTGATTTACTTCAAAGCCTATACTTTTCCTTTTTGTATTACTATGTGTAGAGTTCTTATGCAGATGAGCATAAAAGAGAAAACTGTAAACTGGGCTTCTGTAGAAAATAGTGTTATGAATTGATATTTATCACTATTAATGGACTGTTGGTTTCTCTGCCCAGATCCTTATACTGCAGTTTTTCATTTCTCGTATCATTTTTTTCTTTTTTAGGGTGCACGCCACCCATTTGCACAAGCTGTTGGAAGGAACATTGCAAACCCCACTGCCATGCTGCTCAGTGCTGCTAACATGCTCAGGCACCTCAAGTGAGTCACCTTCTACATGTTTTTTCATAATGAGTATATCAAATTTTACACAATAGCCTCAAATTGTATGTCCTAACCCAATATAATCATCAAGATCTTAAACAACCTCAGGCAGCTCTGTTTGTCTGAATGCAGACATGTGTCTGGTCACCTGTTCATTGTGATTATATTGTGTTGCAGTCTGGAATACCATTCTCAAATGGTGTCAGATGCTGTCAAGAGGGTCATAAAACAGGGCAAGGTAAGTGTTAGCTCTGCCCAGTCTGTGCTGCATGCAGGCTTTGAATGATAACCCCACCACTATGGTATATAAATCCAGAAGCATTAACATTATTAACACCAAAAGAGCTGCTTTTTCTGTATGTTTTTACTTCCACTTTTTCAGTACCTCTAACAGAGTAAAATAACAGCTGATAGCTCTGCAATATGTGGGCAAATAAAGTCAGTCAGACTTGTATATTCTAAATCTGTGATCTTGGTATTGTGGGTCAATAACTGCTGTATTTGTGTACACAAAGTCTCAAAGAGAACCTCTAAAGAAAATGGTGATAGAAACTTAATGTAAATCATTGATTACATTACACTTGCCTTAGATCAGCTTGCCTTAGAGCTCTGCCTTGCAGTCTAAGGCCAACAACATCATCTTGAATCTCAGTAGCTCTTGGCCTACAAATAACTCATCCTAACTGCTTGTATAGTATACCATAGTGTGTTAAAGAGCCTTTGAATTCCTACTTTTAAGTCACTCTTAGCTCCTCTCTTTCAGTGCCTTCCTTGCTTAATTTTGTCCCTCTTTTACATGTTCAGGTTTGTTAACAAAATTATGTCGTAAATTCCTTTTTAAACTATTTTGGACTAAAAAGCTGCGTCTGCTCCGTACTGAAACTAACATGCACTGACACAAACATGCACATGAAGTTGGTCTGCTTTTGTCCCCTTAGATGATGATAATAAACACCAGCTTGCAGGGTAGTTTATCATTAAATTATTTTTATTTTTATTATTACACTGTCTGAATGCTCATTTTCTCCCATCTGCTTTAATTTCCTCCACCTCCTTGTACCCCATTGCCATCTGTTTGTGTGTGTATACATTTGTGTGTTTGTGCAAATTCCAGGTACGGACACGAGACCTTGGCGGATACTGTACCACTACCGATTTTGTGCATGCTGTTGTGGAAAACCTGCGTCACCGACCCATTTAAAGATATTTCATCATAGACCTCGCTGACTGACTCCTTTTTCCCTAAATCTGGACATTGTTCTTAACATGGTCTGGATGCATGTTAAGACACCCTCCCCACCCACACCAAATGCCAGCTCACTGAGAGCTGTACTATACATTTCTGACACAAGTTGCATCATAATGACATGGGTTCTGCTGGGTTGCTTGTAGATCCACTTCCGTTAAGCTTTGACATCTGTTGATTTGGGATTAAAAAGTATACCTCATTTGCATCTTTTTGTTTTTGGAGTTTTGAGCTGATGAGTTCATAAAGACGATTTCTTCACACATTGTGGGAAACGCATCTTTTTTTTTTTACTTTTATTATTTAAATGTTCCTGTCCCATCGGTCTCGCATTTCATTGGAAACTTGCTGTAAAGCCACCAGAGTCTTTTAAAAAGTTTGTATCGCCTTTTTTCAGAATTGGTCTAAAAACTGTAACTGTAACTCAGTAACAGTACAACGCTGCTCCAAATTACTGCACATTTAAATAAAACTGTAATTTCATTATTGCAGCACTATAAATTCAACTATTGGCGCTGGGATTTCCTGTTCACTGTAACCTGGCGTAATTAAAAACCTCATAATTGGCAGCTGTTGGGGAAACTGATATGAAAGATCAGTATCTTTGTGCATCAAAAAAATTAAATGGCAGCATTAGCTTGCATTAGCCATTCACAATCAAAGTCACCACAGTTGTAGCATGTAGTTTATTAAAAAGAGTTATTTAAGCACATAGCAGAAGAATTTGTCACATGATTTTACAGAAATCAGCCATAACATTAAAAACATTAATATTATTTGGATCCTTACTGTGGTGCTGCTCCAAGCGCTGACCATCAGGCTGTGGACATGGGACTTGTCCTGTGGTGTCTGACTTGGATGCTCACAAAGGTTCCTTTGATTTGTTTTGGTGTGATGCAGTGTAGTCAGGGAGAGGCTGCTGCTGTCAGGGAGTGCTGTCACCTTGGAAGGGTGTGCCTCTTCTGTAAAAATGTTGGTGGGAAGCAACAAATAAAACCTCCCAACAAATGCCCTCACAGCACATTGATCAATGTTATTTACATTTTAATTGGTTTTGATGTTTTTGCTGATTGCTGTATGGTATTTCCTGGTTTAGTCTTCTTTCTTTTTTTCCCACCATAAAGTCAGCACAGTTATAACTGCTACACTAAGGTTCAATCATCCTGTCCATCTCGCTTTTGGTACTATTTTGCATCAATTTGAAATGGAAGCTTGCTCACCAAAATAAATAAAAAAAATACTTTATCGGTATACAGTGTTTGTGTGTTGACCTTTGACCCAAGTTCCCCAGTAAAAGCAATATCATGTGCCTTTAGCCAGCATTTAAATTTAAATATTTCAACAAACCAAGAGTTTCACTCATACTGAACAACAACAACGTGATCTTTCCTGGATCATTAAAATACACTGAAATACTGTATATGGTCATTTGATGTGTTTTAAATCCAAACCTGGACTGGTACTTAAAATAATGTGGGGCCAGAAAAAGAGAGGAAAGTTCAACTGATGCTTTTTTTTTTTTCTTTTCATATCATCATTCACACTGTGTTCATTCTGTGAGTACTGCTTTCAAAGGCTCTCTAACATGCTGACCGTGATACAGAATGTGGACATGTGTTTCTGCAGCTGTGCATATAATAACGTGCTGTCCTTATGTTTGCAACAGGTGCGCACTGCAGATCTGGGGGGCTATGCAACAAGCGACGAATTCACCCGTGCTGTCATTGCTAACCTGTCGGTCTGAGCATTATGTTTGCAGATCTGTCAGCTGCTGAATCGCACACATTTTTAATTAACTTCCTGTCTTACATGCTTGTACGCACAGTACAGCCCTATCCCCCTACATTCTACACGCAGTGCCCTTCTTATCAGAGCAAAATGCAAATGAAATACATTGTCCACAATGTTTTATTTTTGCTGTTTTAAAGTTGATATTTAAACACTTAACGTTGCATCCAATAAAAAAAATGGATTGGTAATATTTTTTCTTTTTTTTATGGTGCAAAACTTATAATGCTGTTACACTATTTCACACCACTTCCTGACATTCTACTGCCTTGCATGATACTCTAATTTCTACTTAATGATTTTATGTGTGGACATTAACCAGAAGTCAAAACACAACGTATGTATATTTCATTTATTAATAAAGTTTTAACTTAATGCTTCTTCATTTATGCTATATAAATAATAAATAAGAAATGGAATATGACATCTTGCGTGCAGAATCCTTGAATGAACATTATGGAGACTAATGCGGTGTTATTAAAAGTTTATTATGGCTGATGGCACATGTCACCTCGCAGCATCAGGATCCTAACTCCCTTCCTGTGTCCAAACATATTCATGGTGGTTTTTGGAGAATTTAAATGTTGGAAAAACTGAGTTTTTCTGGCTGTGTTGGGTGTATCATGGTACAGTGTATGCACAAAGTCCCCAATACCATTAACTAACAGTTCAATATTAAATATGATATTTTTTGCTTTTATCTGTATAAATTATTAATAAATTGTAGGAAATTTTCCAGCTTTCTCTTTACTGCAGAAGGTCGCAAAAGAGTTATTACAGGTCAGTTATGTGACTGTTTTCAGAGGAATAGTTTATGTATGAATTTTAGTAATACATTTAAAGCACAGAAGCAGCACTACAATGATGCTTCCTAATGATCTTCTCACACCCTCAGACAACATCTCTGCCTGGCCTTGTGCTGCTAGATGAGTGCAACATTTCATAACACTGATCACATGTACCCTGCCTCTTACCTTATGGTAGCCAGGATAGGGTCAAGACATCCCTGCGACCCTGATAAGGATAAGCGGAAGAGGATGGCTGGATGGACTAGCATACACAGTTGTGTTTCCAGGAAGTTTGAATTGTAGTTATTTATATAAATGATGGTTCTTACACACAAAAGTTAATCACGGAGTTCCACAGGGTTCTGTGCTAGGGCCCAGACTGTTCTCGTTATACATTCTCCACTTTGGAATTAATATTAGAAAACGCTGCATATACAGGTGATACCTGATGTTATAAGCCATGTGATACAAATCGTCTGGTTAAACTGCAGGAATGTGTTAAACATATAAGGGCCTGTAATTTTTTTCCTCTAGCCCACAGTTTCCTATTGATTATTTTATTAACACATTCTCAAAGAAACACAACAACAGCAAAAAAACAATGAAAAATATTTTTTATTAAAATTTCTGAATCTGATGATCATTCCGACTGTTGTAGATGGAAAATGAACTATTTATCCTTTATATGTTACTACTAGTTATTTATTAGCTTCAAAGTGGTTCAGTAAATTATATTTAAAAAATTGTTACCAGTAAAATAAAAATATAATTTAAAATGTATATTATTTTAGCTAGAAAATCCGTTCTCTCCCTACTTATCACTACTAAACCAAGATGTAATACCTGAAAACGTCATTAGAAAGGGTAAAAATGTAATAACCTCAGCAAAATAACTTGACTAATAATGAAAGGATAAAAATAATAATAATTTTGCTTATAGGCAAAAGACTATCGCTGGATATATTACTGAATAAAATAGTCTTTAATTATTTGTTAAAAATAAATTACATGGCTTTCAACAAATGACCTTTTCCTCTATTAAACATGTGGGCCCAACCATCAAACTGACGTCACATTTCTGTAATATTGCCTCTATATTGCCTCTTTAAAGAATAATCTGATAATTCCCTTTGAAATGTATGTAGATTGGAAAAATAAAGTGGTCTATCATCAATCAGAACAGGTCTCTGACCCTCAATACTGTGTTAGGTAGCACTGATGGGGACCGCTGCAGTGTGGAAGGTGTAAAGTGGATCTGGGCCAGCAGGTGTCGCTGCGGGCTACAGAGAAACACAGCGGAGAAGAGACGGGGCCAGGCCTGGGAATTCGTTCCCCGCTTCCCATTCTTCCTATGCAGACAGACACACAACATGGCGGACTAGAATAGTCGGCCGACGCGCCCGGATACAGCGGATAAACCCTGGGATTTAACATCCAAGAAGGCGAAGAAAATACCCTCCGAAGAGACGCTACAGAAGGACGAAATTCTAATTTTTTGGAGGGGGCGCTTTCTTTACCCTGGCTTTAGCGGATAAACTGACTGTGAAGTGTTGGCAGTGCGTCCCAGATCGTGCTTCCCTCCTCTGCTATCACCCTGGTCCCCCCCACCTCCACCCCACTCACACTCTCGGTTCCTGGGGTGTGGAGAAAGGGGCCGGGGTTGAAAACGTGGAAGACAGGATAAATTCCCACTTGGCTTTCATTTTTTCCCCCTTCTTCTTCTCTCGCCTCCCCCTCCGGTTTCCTTTGGGCTCTACAGGAGTTGTGGTGAGTTTTCTTGTTTTTGTTGCGCAAAGCAGAATCCCACTTGTTACAATGTCGCTCTACGAGCATGTTTCCCAGTGTTGTAACATTGTGTCACCCTCAAACGAGCACTTTCCGTCCCCGTCCCCCCCTTCCTCCCGCTTTTTACGTTACATGATGCCGTTATCGATTGGGGGGGCTCGTCCGCGGAGCAGCGCGGCGTTTAATGAGTTGTGAGCCTCCCTGTAACGCCTGAACATTTCAGAAGTAGCTCGGAGGCAGGGAGGGAAATTTTGGCGAGAGGGGACTCCGAAGAAAGGAGGGGAGGGGGGAAGCTTTAAGAGAGAGTGCGACAACATTTAAGAAGTTGGTTTTGTTGTGCCAACACAGATGCTGTTGCGCTTACGCTGGAACAAAGAGGGGGTGGAGTGGCGGGGAGAGGGGGTTCCAGGGTTGCCTCACTGGAAAGTACACTTTATTGATCAACGCTTTGTTATTACACGTTCAGAGAGGGAGGGAGTGGAGCTGGCTGGATGGCTGGGTGGAGGAGCAAGGGGGGCTTCATGCGACCCACAACAGGAATTAGGTCGCCCCGACGTTAACGTGCTCTGTCAAATCACAGCGGCTGCTTTGTGTTTCTTCACCTCTTCAAGATGGGGGTCTCACATGTGTGCTTTCCCAAACTTTTTTCTTTTTTTAATTATTAATAATAGTCCCCTCTCTTTCGAAGCCTTGGGTGTATCCAAGCATCCAATTTTAGTCTTGTGGTTGTTGATGGCTTTTTAAAATTATTATTATTTCAATCTTTTACTCGGACTTGAGCAGTGATTCATGATTCCCAGCTCATCAGAACACGGATCTTGCTGTAAGGGCTCGCTTGTCACTGCCAGTGGTGGGAATTGACATTAAACATCGGTGGCATAACTGCTGCAGCCGAGCTGAGCATCAGCTACAAGAACACTGCATCAGCAAAGGAGTGTGAAAGCCTCAAAGTCAGAGCAGAGAGAGGGAGAGGAACATCGTCAGGCTGATCGGACATGGCAGAGACTTCCTTGTCATCTCTGGGAAAAGCCTGTGCCACAGTATGTCAGCCTGGAGCTCCGCTTATAATGCTTGGTTCAGTTCACTGAACTGTGGCACATATATATACACCATGCTTCACCATGTGTGCCTCCCCACAGCAGGCATTCAGCTTCACTTGAGGCCGTCATGTCATGTTAGGACCGTCCCAGTGTACAAAACCTCCCAACTCCTGTGACTCTTCTCTCCGGCTTATCCTGACCTCTGTCTGTCAGGCCTGAACATATTCACCTTTCACCCTCTACCCCATTAAAAAACAAACCAAACCAAAAAGCTGTAAAATCATATCTGCCTGTCAAACATCACCAGCACCTTGAAAGCCATATTGTGGAAAGAGGGAAAAAGTTTGCTTTGGCAATACGGCAGAAAAAGGCAGGGCTGTTAGAATCGTGCTCACTATGCCTGTATATATCTTTGCACCTATTCTAAGGAGAGAGAGAAAAAAAGAGTTATTTCTGTCTTGTTGGGATGCTGTCAGAGTTTTAGCAGAGGAAGTGGAGTGATCATCCTCGCACCACATTTTTCACGATTGGCCTAGTTACTAAAAATAAAATAAGTATAGCTTGAAATCACTTTGTGGGAACTTTGCGTCGAGTGTCGATGAGTGGGTGTTTAAAATAATGGCCCGTGTGTTGTGAAATTTCACAATTTCAGGGCTCTGACACAATATTATGAGTTTGCTTTTTGGGTGGGGCTGGAGGTATATTTTTGTTTCCACCTGTGGGCCCTGCATGTTTTGCTGAGGAAGAGCACTGTAATTCAGCCTCTCGCGGGATAAACACTGCTCCATTTAGAGGATTATGATGCATTACAGGGGCCTGATTGGAGCTACATGCGATATGTCAATTGGATCTTAATGACATTTATTCCACAATACAGGAAATGAACCTGTGTGATTACTAATGACTGACTAAATATTGTGCCTGGCTAGAAAGGACGCCATCGAACATCCTTCAGCTTTGCCCTGCCTCTCTGCTGAATGGAAATAGTAATTATGTAATATCTTCAAGTTATTTAGTCAAATGTTTCTTTTAAATCTTCTTGATTCCGGCTGACTGGTGTTTCTGGTCGCTCATGCTCATAGCAACGATTAACAGTGGGTGTTTTTGTACATGGAAAAGTACTTTGGATGTGCAAAGAGGTTCTTTTGATTTTTGTAAGCTCACGTGGGTCCACCTCAGTGAGGATCTGGTTGCCACCTTCCTTTTCCATCATAGTGTGTTAAAGCAGTGCTATTTCTCCCTTTTGGGGGATGTTAGAAATCAACATAAAGGATTACTCTTGGCTGTACTGCAGTACTGTAACTACAGCTACATGAATACCTTTTTTCCTCATATGGCATATGTGTTATTATAGCCGGTAATTGGGTTTAAAACTTTTTTGTGTGTGATTTCTGTTCATAAAAAGCAAGAATTTGGAGCCATGTTGCACATTTATGTTGTGTTAGGTTTTCACTTTATTTCAAAAGAGTGCCTACGATTCAAACTGAAGCTATATGTATTAATATTTGCCATCGGCCTGCCAACAAGACTTGTTTTGTCCTGCTCTGGAAGAAGGGGGGGGGAAGGGGGGAGTGCTCAGAGAGCCTGTAAGCAAGTCAGTAGTTTTTCAGTGCACCACCTAAAGGTGAAGCTGGACAAAATGGATTTTAAAGAGAAGCCAAGTCATGATGTTGCTTTGAAGTCAAGTCCCCGGTGATTATGTTATTATCTTAGATGGTTTTGTTATCTTTCAGAGGAAAAGGAGGGGGACGGCTGCAGTAGGATGACTACTTCAGATATCAGAGCTGTCATTTCGGG